TGTCTAATATTATCCTTAAGCAATTAGTATTATCCTTTAAACTTCTTTATAAAAAAGAAGCGCACGGCGTTCTCTGCCGCCTCGTTAGACGCAGGGTGATACGGTACAGTTTTCGTATGTTTAATAGCATTTCGCAATACAAACTCTTGAAACTGCTCGCTCGCAAATGCTGGTCTATTATCGGTAACAATTTGGCAACCCCCATATGCTTATATACTCTTTTAAGACTCTAATTGCAGATTCTGAAATGGTATCGCACATTTCCTTAATATCGATTCATTTCGAGTACGCAATTATCAAGATACATATGCCCGCTAATTGGTCTGTAAAAATCTAGATGTATGCGATCGTTTGGGCCGCTCGGCCATTTCCATACATGTAACGAAGCCTTTGGGGGATCGTCTGCGCTCTCTAAGCACCCTTTACATGTTCTTGTTATTTCTTCAATATCTCTATCTAAATCAGGCCACCAAAAATAAGACCGAGCTAACGCCTTTATTTTAACTACTCCGAGATGAGCCTCATGGAGCTCTTCTAGCAAATCAGCTCTCAAAGACTGTGGAATAACAATGCGGTCCCCACATTACGCAATCTTTTTCCAAAGCTAACTCTAACCTACAACTATGGAATGGCCTCAGGTAATCATCCACTTTATCTGGCCAACCCTGCATTACAAAATTTCGAACTCTGCTCAAAATTGCATCTTTACTCGTTTCCCTACGAATGAACTTACTATCTACACTTTGTATCTCTTCCCCGATTATTTTCAGATACGTAAGTATTTCTCTGACTCTTCCACTTCAACTGACTCGTTAATATCCTCCCTACCAATTCTCGATAGACTGTCAGCAGGCCCATTATCCAGTCCCTTAATGTGCTTAATTTTAAAATTATATCCTGCTAAAAATACGGCCCACCTTTACATCCGACTAGGCGCCATCTGTGTAATTCTTTTCTTTGGTCCAAAAATGTACGTTAGAAGTTTATGATCGGTTTCTAATATGAAATTACGACCGTATATATATTGGTGAAATGTTTTCACTCCAAATGCTAGAGCTAATGCTTCCCTATCAAGTTGAGAGTAATTTCTCTGCGCCACTGATAATACTTTAGAGGCGAACGCTATTGGCCTTCCGATCCATTCGGAAGAATATGTGACAAAATTGTCCCTAACTCTATAGGAGATGCATCACACGTGGTTTTTCCGTATCATAGTGTATTAAAATTTTCCGCAAGTGTTCCTTAGTCCTTTTAAAAACTAAGTTTTGCTCTTTTGTCCAACCCCATTTCTTATTTTTCCTAAGAAGTTCGTACAGCGGC